CTCCTTTGTTTCAACAAGCATGCACCTAAAAAAAAGTTGGCAGTGAGTGTATACACAGTAAAGTTGTAGCATTTTGCAGCTGCAAAATCTAACTCTGAATATGTACACGGTGCGACGCATCCCTTTGACCTGACTGATCCCATGTGCCTTTTAGTGTTTCATGAATAGGTCACTTCCCCTATGTATCTTCAAAGAAGATTTACCAGCTGCAATGCAATGAATAATGCACATGCACAACCGCAAGCTAGTGGTTTGGTTATCAAGCAGCTGATATGAACCAAGGGCATTAATCTCCAGGTTTTTGCTCAAAATCCACATTTTCAGTCTCGGCTGTGGAAAGTAAGTAAGTAGTCCACTTGATTTATGCTGATTGCAGATGCTCTTCTCATTTAAAGAATTGCTAACTTCTGCCTGAAACCACCAAGTGAAATGATAACAACAGCACTCTGCAGATAGCCAGTAAAACTGGAGCGCTGCATCAGGCAGTGAACCTCACACATTAGATTTGTGCCACCAGCTTTCGCTGCCTGAAAATTTGGTCATATGTGTTGTTTACCCACACTTGAGGCACCTAATATTGAAGGTGTGGAACTAGCCCCCACAGCCAGCGTACCACTAAAGCATCACTTTATCTTACTGCCAATAGGTGGGCCTGTGGTTCACTTTCCCCAAATGACTTGTCTCTTTTTGATGTAAGGAAGCTTTATTAAGAAAGAGTCAAAGGGGGCAAAATGTAACGGCAGAGAGAAGAGTCTGTGTGGGAGGGGCGATTGGTGTTAGGTTGTTGATTGGCGCTCCCTGGGGCGCAGTGATGAAGGAAACCTCTGAAGGAGAAATGGGAAAAAGGTTTCTTGAATCAATATCATCTAAGAGAGGTTTGCATACAAAGTGGGGCCCAAGATGGCAGAGATCCTAATAAAAGCTAATGCAGTCTTTTATAAAGAAAAACTAAGTTAAGACTGAATGCCGAACATTCCACAATTAGTTTGCACAAAATCAAAGCTTTTACTTATTTTATCAGTGGCAGCTTGTGACTCAGCATTATTAGTGAACAGGCAAAAGATGTAAAATGCATCCTGGAGCTCAATTTTATTTCTTATTTAGTTTATTTATTTCCCCATTTTGCTGCGGGTTTACTGAGCTGTAGGAGTCGAGCCACTAAATTCAGAACTGAATGTGCGCAATTGTTTTTGTCTTTGTGTTGGTTTGTTTTCCTGTTATCTATTTGTTATTCTGACAGTAAACCAAACTGTGTCTCAGAAAATGAAAATGGGTTTTATGTATGGAGTAATAACCTAAATGGATTTCCCTCTCTCCCTCTCTCTGTCTGTCTCTTTCTCTGCACCGCTCCGGGAGCCTGTGGCTATTTATCTGCCTGTGTCTAATTATTCATTAGTGAACACAGAACAAAGCACAGAAAATATAGTTGTGCGCTCAGTGTAGCAAACCAGCTTTCTCTACAAACTGATGCTCCCGCTTTCTGTTTTTCATCCATCTCCAACTTCTTGGTGTCCATTTGAGCTGAATTTTCACACGCTGTGGCCGTGCATCTAAAAACTGCAGCAAATCTCCATGTTGCAGATGAAGAACAGATGCAGTGCTCTGTAATAAAATCAACCATGAACTATCACTCAGTATGACCATCCTACTACTGTTTTCTCTGTGAATAATATTTGTACCACTTTGGCACTTTTTATAACTCACAAAATAAGCTACAAAAAGTCATATATTCAGATTTTGCAGAATTAAAATGTTTTTACTTAATGCATTGCACAAATGGGCAGCAGAGGACGCTGTAGCTTTCCAAGAAAGAGAAGAAAATCAAAGCCACTACATAACTTGTGTTACATATAAACGTACACATGCGCAAATACACGTGTCAGGATTTGTTTAAGTCCAAAAAGAAGAAAAAAAGCATGAAAAGAGCACTGGAAAATAAAATCATCTCTTTAATATTCTAGATCAGGGGTAGGTAACTCCAGGTGTCGAGGGCTGTTGTCCTGCAGGTTTTAGATCTCACCCCGGGTCAACACACCTGAATCAAATGATTAGTTCATTACAAGGCCTCTGGAGAACCTCAACACGTGTTGGAGAGGTCATTTAGCCATTTGAATCAGCTGTGTTGGATTAAGGACACATCTAAAACCTGCAGGACACCAGCACTCGAGGCCTGGAGTTGCCTACCCTGTTCTAGATTTTGAAGCAACATCTGATTAAAGCGGGGGCAGGGGAACTCCAGGCCTCGAGGGCCGGTGTCCTGCAGGTTTTAGATCTGTCCTTAATCCAACACAGCTGATTCAAATGGCTAAATGACCTCTCCAACACGTGTTGAGGTTCTCCAGATGCCTGGTAATGAACTAATCATTTGATTCAGGTGTGTTGACCCAGGGTAATATCTAAAACCTTCAGGACACCGGCCCTTGAGGCCTGGAGTTCCCCATCCCTGCATTAAAGCATGCAGGTGTAGGGCTGCGAAATATTGGACTTTATAGACTGCCTGTCAGGAGCAGTCTGTTATAGCGGCACTGCAGAAGCTATTTGTTAGACAATCCTGTCATCTAGTGGTGCTGTCTGTGTTATACACACCAGCTTTGATGTGAAATGATTTAAGTGCTCATCCACCATTCAAAAGCCTTGACAGCACGACGGCCTGTTTGATGGTGAGGTTTCATTGATCTGTTTGAAACTATTACTACTCTATTTGATTTCTTCAGACTCTTGGAATAAAAACAAGCTTTTACTTGTTTTCATCTTTGGGAATTTCTTCCACAGTTGCTTCCCTGCTGTCTGAAATGACTTTTACTGGTCCTGTTGTCTCAGGTGATTACACCCAAAACATCGCATCACTCACACGATGTGTAAAACATGACAGAAGCGCCCGATTTTAAGCCTCTCCAACATGTCACAAAAATAATGTTAATGCGGGCTGAGAACAACTTAGCATTTTTACTGTTCCCAGAACCAGTCCTTACCTTCCCTCTCACCTGCAGCACTGTCAGGGACACGATGGGATCTTACCAGTGCTCAGCCAATGAGCATCACGCATTTCACCGGCTCTGGTCTGCAACAAAAGTTGGGGGGACGGGGCTTGCTACTAACACATGGTGGCCGGTAGATGGCGCCATTGCTGTTTGTAAATTCTTCTTTTCTGTGGCGGCAGTGAAATCCCTGAATGAGTGAAGTAATTGTCCACTGAGGCGCGATCCATTCCAACCACAGACAAACGAAGGCCCGCCGCTCTGCATGATAACGTTATTTTAACAGCTGGGGGAAGGATTTAGAATTGATACGTGCACTGCTAAAAAAAAATAAAATAAAATAAAATAAAAATGGTTATTATTATTATT